ATGTATGAAACTGGAACCACCTTGCAGTTTGATGGAAGTTCACCAATTCGATGAATTGCACGGTATGTTGACAAGAAATCACATAAATGATCGAACCTGCCCCCTCCCCCCCCCCCTCCAAACAGAAGTGGTATCAGGTAGTAGCATCTCAGTGCTTTTTACCTGTATGCATGGTGAAACGGCTGTAAAGCACATCCCTTGATGTTAATAGGTTTAGCTGTCAATGACGAATTGATATCCTGAAAGTCCCGTGGATAATCCCGCCGTTAGGTAAAGTCCGATCAGGATCGCGATAGCCACGAGTGCGAACATCATGTGGGGTGGTGTGGGTTGCAACCCCGAAGGGTCCACGTGGGGCAATTTGATGGAAGGCTTCGAAAAGCTTTGCTGGAGTCTGGGGGTTATCTTCCAGTTGTTGTAAGGATGTTGGTGGAACGTCTGCATGAGGCAGTTCAGCGACGGGAGAGGGGGGGGGAACAGGTGTTGTGCACTTTCATGGCTTCAGTAGTTCCGGTTTACAAGTTCTCACTCTGGGGGAACCTGTCAACTCTTGTGAACAGGGTAGAGCATCGTGTTGTGTAAAATAGTAGTGTAGGTACGACTCCCTCCCCCTTCCCCAACACCTACCTACCAATTTTCAGTCTAGTTTTTCACCCAAAAATCTTCCGCCTTTTCCAAATTATCCTCAAATTCCTAACTTTTTTCGGAATTTCCCGAACATGTTACTACTTTCCCCAAAAATTTTGCTATTTCGCGGGAAAGGGGTGGGGCATATAGTACACATAAAATAGACAAAATCAGGCGCGAAAAGTCAACAACCATGAAAAATTTTCCTAACGCAGCTTTCCCAGCGCAGCAAATTTCTCTCAACCGCACATCGACCCCCCCCCCAACGATCAAATACGCCCCCCCCCTCAGCGGGAAAGTACGACTCCCCCTACCTGTTTCACACAACGGTGCTGTACCCTGCTTGTGAAACTGGAACAAGCGGTCGAGTCACCACTACGGTAAAACATGTACACTCTTGTAGGCTCATAAAAAGCTCTCCAGATGGCTCGGCACGTCGATGGGTAGTCGCTCACCCCCGTCGCCAAACTGCACTCTTCGTAGTGGAGAACTCCAAGTCCCCGGACAACCAGTAATCCAAAGAAAATAAAATACCTTTGAGTGCGCGCCAATGGATTCTAGACTCAACCAAGCCAGGAGTAAGGATTTTATCTACAAATCTTCTGCCATCTGGATCACTCCTCGTATTCCACACCGGAGTACTCATTTTTTCAGGAGTCAAATGGAAGCGACATTGGCGGCGCGCACCCACCGTTTATTTCACCCCTAGCCGTAACAAGGCATCTGTACAGCGTATTCGCTTCGCCATCTGGCGCACGCGCTTGCAATTGCCAATTAGCATCTCCAATACTACAGATCGCGAACTAGCGAACGGATGCCGCAGAACATGCCTGCCGGATCGATTATCTAGTCTGCGTGACTAGGGCAACACCTACCCCTTCATCAATATCTCTTGAACACTAATCGACTGGCGCGGCTGCGTTTGCAGAGGGAATCGATGGACACTGGCCATCTGCGGCTGCGTTCGTGTCTATCGCTTCGGAGTGGGTTGCAATTGTAGGGCGTCGTCGCGCTTCACAGTGCGTTACAGCGCGTCGTCGCACGTGTTTGAACGCTGTTCAAGCGTGTCATACGTACAACTACGACTCCTTTTCTACGCCGGGGATCCACTCTATACCGAGAGTAATTTTTGCATTGCGCAACCCTTCCCTTGAGCCACGGGATCCCCACGGAGTCAGGTATAAAAATCGTTCACAAGAAAGTTAAGAAGCTTCTCTTCCGATTCCGGAGGCAGCTTTTGACGTAACTCTATGGCACGAACTAGGTAACAATTCCAGTTTCAATATTTTCAAACCCTATCGATACGCCCGGATCTCAGAAGAAAAATATGTAGGGAAATTTGAAATCATTTCCTAATGAGTGTTGGAAAAATTTGTGGTCAAAATGATGTGGTGAATATCACAAAAATTTTTACTCGCGAAACGTTTCTAGTTGTCTCTAGAAAACCCACGTAGCGGGATCGGTGTCATCAGCAACAACAAGAGCTAGAACAAGCCCAAAGACGAGGAGGCGACGCATTTTGGTGCAGAATGGTTGAAGACGGGTTTCGCTCCTTATCAGTGACGTTTCGACGGCACACCCATCATTCCGAATAAACGCTTGAATCTATAGTCACAGTCAAATTTACCATCCGTCACTTCCCCACTTTGATGAGGTTTCTGAGCGCATTTCACCTGTCGCACCTTTCTTTAGTCCCGTACCCCAAAAACTGATTTCATTTCTGAAGGTGATGTCATTAAAGTAAGATAAAAACAAAAATTACATGTCACGGTGGCAGATCCACAATTTTTGTGCTGTAGCTCAGCAATGGGCCATATCTGAATGGCGCGGAATTAATGGAATGAAGTGAGAATAGAACCTTTCTGGACAAGCGGTTCATTTCATTCCGGAGTTGGATGGTAGGACTATTTTGCTGCACTCCGGCCTGTACAGTGATCACCCGGCATTAAAACCAAAACTTCTTGGACATCCCTCCTGAGGAGTACGATTCTGAGGAGCTTACACTTTGATAGCTAGAGCATGGCGCAATTCGTTGTTGGGGAATTCCAACATTAGGGGGTCGTATTTGGGCTTGGAAAATTTATTTTGATAGTTGATTTTTCTCGCTTCATGGACGTTGTAAAAGGGGGGGGGGTCGTACTTGGTCATTTTTGGGAGGGGGTCGTATTTACGTTTCGGCGTTGTAGGAGTGGTGGTTTAGTTTTGGTCGATTTTCCTGATCCATGTGCGTATACCAGGGGGGGGCCAAAAAAAAAAGTCATTTCGGCCGAGCCACATATCAACGAAGTTTTCGCAGCCCAGACAGGGGAAGTGGATATGAGTACCAGAGTGGAAGATACCCAAGATCTTCCTCTATAAGCTGGAGCACGCTGCCGCCAATCGCCTTCATGTACGCCAAAATATGAAGTCATCTCCAGTCGCGGCCTGACTGGAGAACACCTTTGGAATTCACGTCGCCTCCAAACAGCTGCGAAACTTCTTGAATGAAGTCATCCACAGATAGCTACCTGGAGGTCAGTACTCTTGACCTGCAAGACCTCCCACATCGACCAGCTACGGCCAAAAAAAAAATACCCCGGTCGGCTACGGTCTGAGGGACATCATCTCGGCCGTATTGCGCCGAGGCGCGCACGTTACGGTATGGACCGGCCGGGTGTACCTGGAAGGGGAAGACCGATATTTTCTTTGTAGACCCCGACTGAAGGTGAGCGCTGGCGGTTACATCAAGTAACTCGAGAAGAATATCCTCCCTACATGTGGTCGCCCGTCTTGGAGACCTTGTGCTGCTACAGCGCATTTGAGTGCCACCACATGGAATCAGAGGGTTTCGGAAAAACTCCCGCCTACTTGGAATGGAAGGGGGCTGAATACCTAAAGAAGGTAGAATATTTAAGTAGGTCACCTGACCTGTATCCCCTCAATTACCCGGTTCGGGCGGAGTTCAATAGGGTGGTCTACGGTGGCGGAGAAATCAACGATCTCGCTCAACTCCGGTACCCACTCACTTTCGCGCGGCCGAATCTCTCGATGGCGCTCCTCCAGAAGGCTGCGGCGGAGTATCATTATAGTATTTAATGTGCTCTTTAATATGGTAGTAAAAATGTCCGATAAAAATTTAATAAAGTGTAACTTATAGCGCCTTGAAAGTCATGGAGGAAAAATGACTTTTTTTTTGGCCCCCCCTGTATTCCCTCCCCACCTCCGCTCGACGGGATGGCACAGGGCACAGCTGTGGGGATTCCCTATGGGGGGGGTCGTATTTGGCCGCCAAAAGGGGGGGGGTCGTATTTGGGCTGGGAAAAATTTATTTTTATAGTTGATTTTTCTCGCTTTGCGGACGTTTTTTGGAGGGGGGGGGGGGTCGTACGCAGCGCCGGGGGTGGAAAAATAGAAGGGGGTCGTAAAGCTAAACCCAAA